TGTATATAATCATGTATCTCTCCCTCCTGCGTTCCAGGGAATACAGGTTTAGAAACCTCAAGCGCTCCCAGTAAATTGAGGTGTTTTATCTCCGTTATGCGCGCCGTGAAAGTTCTCTGTACATTTTCTAGGTCGGCAATTTCACCTGCCTTGAAAGGTGCTGTTAGAGTGCAGCAATATTCCAGCCTAGATAGAACAAGTGACCTGAAGAGTGTCATCATGGGCTTGGCCTCCCTAGTTTTGAAGGTTCTCATTATCCATCCTGTCATTTTTCTAGCAGATGCGATTGATACAATGTTATGGTCCTTGAAGGTGAGATCCTCCGACATAATCACTCCCAGGTCTTTGACGTTGGTGTTTCGCTCTATTTTGTGGCCAGAATTTGTTTTGTACTCTGATGAAGATTTAATTTCCTCATGTTTACCATATCTGAGTAATTGAAATTTCTCATCGTTGAACTTCATATTGTGTCATTATGATCGGGAAAAGATTCTCTATCTTTTCATAAGAATTTTTTTTTTTTTTTTTAAATTTGGCTGACCCTCTGAATGAGTCTTGGAGAGGGTCTGTCGACCCTCGAAGGGTTAAATGTTACTATGCAAGATGGTTATAAACATCCAAAAACTGCATTTATATGTAGATTTACTGGCAGTAAGTAGTTTAATAAAGAAAAAAAACATTTCATAAAATAGAGTACTGTACGTTATACTGTTAGGGTAATTGACATACGTAAACTACTTTATAGAAAGCCCCTTATTATGCAAGGGATTTCAAGCAGCCTTAAAACTAAATTATGATTACTAGTACATGAGAATAAGAACACAGATCTGCCATCACAAATCCGGCAATCAGTTATTCGGTTAGCTCAGTTATTTGGCACTAATTTTGGCTAGCATAATTTCAAATTTCCAGGGTCGCCACACCAACCTACTGCTACTGTTTGGTGCAGTTTGCTGCATAAGTCATTCTAATTTCTTTTTCTCCATTTATTGTTATAACCTGCTTACTTTTAGCCCTAGCCATGGTTCCAATGAATAAAAGAAATGCTTATTGTGTAAAGCACCGACACAGTACAATGTCCATTAAAGATAATGTGGCTTTGAAGCCACTGTCGGTTGCCATGAGCTCAGTCTCATGATGCAGGAGAATATGCTTTATTACACTAATATCAGCACTACAGCTTATTTGCCTATCACAATTGATCTAATATGACATAATAAACAATATAAATAACATAAAAATTGTTAACCCTTTCAGGGTCCAAAGGCAAAATCGGAAGGGGTGCCCCAGTGTGCAAGAAATTTTGAAAAAAAAAAAATTCTTACAGAATTAGATTATATTTTTGTGAAGGTAATAAAACAAACAAAAAAATTCTGATCAGTACTTACCGAGATACAGAGACGAGAAGTTGACCCAAAATGACCAGGTGGTGGCAACATTCGTGATTTCCACCAACTCGCATCTCTTTATTTTACATTTTTTATACTTTTTTCTTTTCTAATTTTTTTCTTTTTCTAGTACATTTGTGGCCTATGAGACCAATACTTTATATAATGTATGTATAATGTAATAATATAATGTACCAACACTCTTATATGGGTGTGAAGCTTGGGTGGTAAATGCAGCAGCGAGGAGACAGTTGGAGGCAGTGGAGATGTCCTGTTTGAAGGGCAATGTGTGGTGTAAATATTATGCAGAAAATTCGGAGTGTGGAAATTAGGAAAAGGTGTGGAGTTAATAAAAGTATTAGTCAGAGGGCAGAAGAGGGGTTGTTGAGGTGGTTTGGTCATTTAGAGAGAATGGATCAAAGTAGAATGACATGGAAAGCATATAAATCTATAGGGGAAGGAAGGCGGGGTAGGGGTCGTCCTCGAAAGGGTTGGAGAGAGGGGGTAAAGGAGGTTTTGTGGGCAAGGGGCTTGGACTTCCAGCAAGCGTGCGTGAGCATGTTAGATAGGAGTGAATGGAGACAAATGGTACTTGGGACCTGACGATCTGTTGGAGTGTGAGCAGGGTAATATTTAGTGAAGGGATTCAGGGAAACTGGTTATTTTCATATAGTCGGACTTGAGTCCTGGAAATGGGAAGTACAATGCCTGCACTTTAAAGGAGGGGTTTGGGATATTGGCAGTTTGGAGGGATATGTTGTGTATCTTTATATGTGTATGCTTCTAAACTGTTGTATTCTGAGCACCTCTGCAAAAACAGTGATAATGTGCGAGTGTGGTGAAAGTGTTGAATGATGATGAAAGTATTTTCTTTTTGGGGATTTTCTTTCTTTTTTGGGTCACCCTGCCTCGGTGGGAGACGGCCGACTTGTTGAAAAAAAAAAAAAGAAAATATATACACTCACTGTATTGAACACAATAACTGCACTAAAGTTATTATTATAATATTTACCACTTTTGTTTATTACAATAAACATGCACGAATCTTGTATAATACAGTGGACCCTCGACTTACAATATTTATTCGTTCCAGAAGGCTGTTTGGGTGCCGTTACCAAACGAATTTGCTCCCATAAGGAATATTGTAAATTAGCTTAGTCCATTTCACACCCCCAAAAATGCACTTAAAGAAGCACTTACAAAAATACACTTACATAATTGTTCTTGTTGGGAGCTGATCGTAAGTTGGGGGGTTCACTGTATGTACTAATGTTCTATCATATATTTACATATGTACAATCACTGGACATGTTTTAGAACTGCTGCAGCTTGTGGAACTCCTTGAAACAAGGTATCATGCACAGAGGTACCTTACATTCCTCGCACATAAACCGAGTGTCTTTGCGTCTTTGTTGCCGTCGTTTTGTTTGTGCACAGACAACACACCTCTTCTGAGCAAATTTTTTCTTAGTTGCAGGAAGCTGTATTATGAAGTGATCACCTTCCCTCCTCAAATGCTTGGGTATTTCCTGAGGAGTTCGAGGACGGTTTTGTATAGCAGGTATTGTTACCTGGTACTTCATTATGAGTTGTCTGACAAGACAAACAAAATTCAACATACGGTGGTCTGTTGCCAGTCTTCATTTGGTACATATTATATGCATTGAGCATTGAAATGTCCATGAGATGGAAGAAAAGTTTCATGTACCACTTGTAATTCTTACGAACACAATCAACAAAGCCAGTCTGCATGTCACATTTGTCAAGCAATTGCATGTTTTGTGTATAATCAATCACTGTCACTGGTTTTTGAATACGTTCATTAGTCACTCTATCAATTTTGGCACTGTCTTGCATTTCGTTATGGTGAATGGTTATCAACAATGTGACATCTTGTTTGTCATGCCACCGTAATGCCATGATATCATTGGCAGTAAACACCTGCACCTCACCACCACAAGTGCCTGTGTTGAACCTGGGCATATGTTTATGATTAGAACACACTGTGCCACACACATCTGTCATGTTCACTTGCAAGAAATCGCTGAGTAAAGAGCTTGTGTACCAGTTATCAGTATACAGTGGAACCTCGCCTAACGATATTAATCCGTTCCTGAGAGCTCAACGTTACGCGAAATTGTCGTTAGCCAAATTAATTTTCCCCATAAGAAATAATGGAAATCAAAATAATCCGTTCCTGACACCCCAAAGTATGAAAAAAAAAATTTTACCACATGAAATATTAATTTTAATACACACAAACTGAAGAAGACATGTACAATTACATGACACTTACCTTTATTGAAGATCTGGTGATGATTGATGGGATGGGAGGAGGGGAGAGTGTGGATGGTGTTAATGTTTAGAAGGGGAATCCCCTTCCATTAGGACTTCAGGTGTCAAGTCCTTTTCAGGGGTTACTTCCCTTCTTTTAATGCCACTAGGACCAGCTTGAGTCACTGGACCTCTGTCACACAACAAATCTGTCCATAGAGCTCTGTACCTCCCGTTCCTTTACAATTGTCTAAAATGGGCCATAACATTGTCATTGTAATAGTCACCAACACGGATTGCAATAGCTGTGTTACTGTGATTTTCATCCATAAACGTTTGCAGTTCAACCCACTGTGCACACATTTCCTTAATTTTTGAAGTAGGCACAATGGATTCCACAACTGGCATAGGCTTCTCAGGGTTAGCCCCAAACCCTTCAAAATCTTTCTTAATTTCCATACTAATTCTCACCCTTTTTACCACAGGGTTGGCACTAAGAAGCTTTCTTGGGGCCCATGGTGACTTACTCTGCAGAAACAAGCACCAGAAACAGTGATAATATAGAATGTACCGAATGTATCCTTAGATGCGCGCACAATGGCCGGCTTGTAAACACTGGCACACACAGGGCAGTTCAGGCCACACGTGGACACGTCTCGTACGAATCGTATCGAATAGTACTGGGTTTTCAATCAGATACTGAGGCAAAATTTTTGCGTTAAAATGCATCGAATACCGGATTTATCGAATACTGATGCCATTGAATACCGGGGGTCCACTGTACTTAATTCCTGAAACAAATGAAAATTGTCTCTATTTCAGTGTATCTTGCATTCTATCAAATGATACCAAGGAACAGTCAGTAAAACCATAAAAATCAACTGAAAACACACCTCAGTCACAATTTTAAACCTAATATGTGGTCAGTTTTGTTTTTCCCATCATGCAGTGTGTGCACACTTAATGCGCAACCTCGTTCCCTCATATCTAGGCCAAAATGTACTGCTCACAGCTTACCTGAGTGAGCTGAGCTCATGACATAGAATTACATGAGGAACTGCAGGCTTGAGTGACTTATTTCTGCACAAGGACTATGGAAATGAAAGATTTAAAATAGTTAAAATTCTTCTCATTGTTTTCTTACCCACAGTTGAAAAAGGGTGGATTTTGATAGAATAATTAGTATAGAGATTTTCTTTCAAAAAGAAAAGAGAAACCATCCGAGATGATACATTATTTGATGCACTATGTCGAGTATACTTAAATTGCATTTTATATTTTTTGACAACTGCAATTGAAATTGCTTAAACTTTTTTTTAGTATGAATTGAATTTACAGGTTATTAGCTGTTATCCCACATCTGTTATCCCACTCAGCCCCTGTCAAAGGCATTCTTCTGCCCTGATGTGACCCACAACGTTCTAACATCCAGATACTGTACAGCAAGTCCTCACTTAATGTCATCAGTAAGTTCTTGGAAATTGAGACTTCAAATGAAATAATGTATAATGAAACCTCACCTCACTGTTAAACGTCAAATCTCTCTAAAGCTTAGTTTTTTTCTAATTTCACTTTCTCTGTTTTTTGTGGTCATAGACATCAGGGGTGCACAGTGCACCTTTAGCACTCATTGCATCAAGGCTAAATCAAAGGATAAATGTTTGCAAAGTGAAAAACGTAAGGAGCACCTCCTGTGACCACGCAGTTAAAAAATAAACAGTAACAAATATGGTGAGCTCGCTGAGTGTTTTCATACTGCATCGTTTATTGTTTTGCATTTGTATGATTATCGTATAGTACTTTACTAATTTTAATTTTACAGTAATTTGTGTTTATTTTATTCATTCAATTTTTTCTCATCGTTATAATGAAATGACATTATTCAAGGATCTGCTGTACACATTTACTGCAGGTACAAGGAAACTTGCCTGCAAGTCTTACCCAGCTCAGGAATCAAACCCTGATTCTTTCATTTGTAACTTGCTCATTCTATGAGCAACTTACAAATGAAATCCTTGTTCTATATTTATATATTTTAAATTGCATGTTATGTTGCAGGCACCATGTCTGGCCAGCGTGGAGGAACCCTAGGAGCAGGAGGCAACAGTAGTGGAAATAGTGCTAGCAACAGTTCTGGAACCAGTAGCAACCCTCATGGTTTAAAACAAATTGATTTAGATCAAATTTGGGGAGATCTTAGACAAGGCATTGAGCAGGTGAGATATCTGCAGTATGTATTGTAGTTTCATGTTTTAGATTTTTTTTTTTTTAACTCAAACCCTGTTTTCTTTACTAGAGTGGACCGTCGGGTAAGGGCATTAATCCGTTCCAGAGAGCTTGCCTTTAACCAATTTTCTCATTAGCTGAATTACTTTTCCCCGTAAGAAACAATGGAGATCCAGTTAATCCGTTTCAGACTGCCAAAAGTATTAAAAAAATTTTGTTTTTAAAGATTAAATATAGATATACATGCAGCAAACAATGACAGATAAATATAAATCACTAAGAAAATGGATAAATGAACACTTAACATCACACTTACCTTTATTGACTCTTGTTTGTGTATGGAAGACAGGTAGGAAGCGAGTTTATTATGCCTCAGTATGATGCTAATATCTCTACGGCTTATTTGTGTATCACAATTCATCTAATATGACATAATAAACAGTATTAATAATGCAGAAACATGATGTATACTACTCTAGAATTAATAAAATGTCATAATATATGAGAGGAGTAAGTGGTGGAAGTGTTGTTGTTGTTGGGTTTATAAGGGCCACTGAGAAAAGCCGTACATATTAGTGGTGGTGGAGGCGGCAGCAGAACCCACCAACACTATCACACTTAACCCTTTCAGGGTTTCTGACGTACTAGTACAGCTTACGCACCAGGGTTATTGACGTACTAGTACGCCTAAATTCTAGCACCTTCAAATCTAGTGAGAGAAAGCTGGTAGGCCTACATATGAAAGAATGAGTCTATGTAGTCAGTGTGCACAGTATAAAAAAAATCCGGCAGCACACAGTGCATAATAAGAAAAAAAAAACTGACCATGTTTTTGGTTTAAAACAGCGACTTTGCAGTGTATTTTCGTATGGTATTTATTGTTGTATTTTAGTTTACCTGGTCTCATTTTATAGAATGGAAGACATATTACAGAAATTGAGATGATTTTGATTGGTTTCATAATGAAAAGTACCTTGAAATTGAGCTCAAAGTAGTAGAAATGTTCGATTTTTACCAGAGATCAGAAGTAAACAAATCATGCCAAGTGTCCAATACACATCAACTGGTGAGTCTGATATTCTTTCACAAGTGCGCTGATATTATTTATATAATTTTTACACTAATGCAGTAGTCTGCATAACAGTAAATCTTCTAATTTTCGTGAGAATAAAAATTCAAAGTGGAAAGCAAAAGAGATGTAAGAGGGGCCTGGGGATGTGACTAATGAACAAAGAAAATGTTATTTTAGTGCCAGGAATGTCTGTCTTGTTTATTCTGGACCCTAATTGGAAATTGGCATCTTCTGAAATTTGTGTGAAATTGGCAAAATTGCCAGTTTCTGACCACTTTATTGGATAGTTGAAATCAGTAAATGGGTGGTTTCTTGTACTTGTTCTATAGAAAAAATGGAGTTCTAGCAAAATATGTATGATTTTTGTCGACTAGTACACTGGAATTGGCCGAAAATAGGGCTCAAAGTGGGTGAAATCGCTGATGCGTAAACATTGTCGAGACTGCTAACTTTGCGAGAGCATAATTCTGTAAGTTTTCCATCAAATTTCATTTCTATCATTTCAGATTTCATCATTTCTATCATTTCCTAAGATTGGCGGAGAGCATGTATAGTCCCTTTATATAAAGGGAAAGGGGACAAAAGAGATTGTAAAAATTATAGAGGAATAAGTTTACTGAGTATACCAGGAAAAGTATACAGTAGGGTTATAATTGAAAGAATTAGAGGTAAGACAGAATGTAGGATTGGGGATGAGCAGGGAGGCTTCAGAGTGGGTAGGGGATGTGTAGATCAAGTGTTTACATTGAAGCATATATGTGAACAGTATTTAGATAAAGGTAGGGAAGTTTTTATTGCATTTATGGATTTAGAAAAGGCATATGATAGAGTGGATAGAGGAGCAATGTGGCAGATGTTGCAAGTATATGGAATAGGTGGTAAGTTACTAAATGCTGTAAAGAGCTTTTATGAGGATAGTGAGGCTCAGGTTAGGGTGTGTAGAAGAGAGGGAGAATACTTCCTGGTAAAAGTAGGTCTTAGACAGGGATGTGTAATGTCACCATGGTTGTTTAATATATTTATAGATGGGGTTGTAAAAGAAGTCAATGCTAGGGTGTTCGGGAGAGGGGTGGGATTAAATTATGGGGAATCAAATTCAAAATGGGAATTGACACAGTTACTTTTTGCTGATGATACTGTGCTTATGGGAGATTCTAAAGAAAAATTGCAAAGGTTAGTGGATGAGTTTGAGAATGTGTGTAAAGGTAGAAAGTTGAAAGTGAACATAGAAAAGAGTAAGGTGATGAGGGTATCAAATGATTTAGATAAAGAAAAATTGGATATCAAATTGGGGAGGAGGAGTATGGAAGAAGTGAATGTTTTCAGATATTTGGGAGTTGACGTGTCGGCAGATGGATTTATGAAGGATGAGGTTAATCGTAGAATTGATGAGGGAAAAAAGGTGAGTGGTGCATTGAGGTATATGTGGAGTCAAAAAACGTTATCTATGGAGGCAAAGAAGGGAATGTATGAAAGTATAGTAGTACCAACACTCTTATATGGATGTGAAGCTTGGGTGGTAAATGCAGCAGCGAGGAGACGGTTGGAGGCAGTGGAGATGTCCTGTCTAAGGGCAATGTGTGGTGTAAATATTATGCAGAAAATTCGGAGTGTGGAAATTAGGATAAGGTGTGGAGTTAATAAAAGCATTAGTCAGAGGGCAGAAGAGGGGTTGTTGAGGTGGTATGGTCATTTAGAGAGAATGTATCAAAGTAGAATGACATGGAAAGCATATAAATCTATAGAGGAAGGAAGGAGGGGTAGGGGTCGTCCTCGAAAGGGTTGGAAAGAGGGGGTAAAGGAGGTTTTGTGGGCTAGGGCTTGGACTTCCAGCAAGCGTGCATGAGCGTATTAGATAGGAGTGAATGGAGGCGAATGATACTTGGGACCTGACGATCTGTTGGAGTGTGAGCAGGGTAATATTTAGTGAAGGGATTCAGGGAAACCGGTTATTTTCATATAGTCGGACTTGAGTCCTGGAAATGGGAAGTACAATGCCTGCACTTTAAAGGAGGGGTTTGGGATATTGGCAGTTTGGAGGGATATGTTGTGTATCTTTATACGTATATGCTTCTGAACTGTTGTATTCTGAGCACCTCTGCAAAATCAGTGATAATGTGTGAGTGTGGTGAAAGTGTTGAATGATGATGAAAGTATTTTCTTTTTGGGGATTTTCTTTCTTTTTTGGGTCACCCTGCCTCGGTGGGAGACGGCCGACTTGTTGAAAAAAAAAAAAAAAAATTTACATTTTAATTTATAAATAAGTTAGTTTATTCAGGTATGTATACACACATACTGTTACATACATAGATTATCATACATAGCAGCATATGTGTAAAGCACCTAGGATAACCCAAAAAAGTCAGTGACTTATTTCCATTGGGGTCCTTTTATATTTACACTTATAGTTACACTTTTATATTTACACTTACCTTGGAGGAGATGTTAGTTTAATTAGTTAGTTTGATGGAGGAAATGCTAGTAGAGGTTTAAGGTGGTGGAAAATAGCAGGCTGGCCTATGTTCATTGGCCCTACACACATCCAAACAACATTGGGAGTTATTTTCATGTCGTTTTTCTATCACTTTCTCGCTTAACTTACTTGCTACACTGTTAATTCTACACTTCATCCCTGACTGGCACTATAGCCTTTATTGATGCCTGCTGCTTTAGTATCGTACATATCGTAGAATCACTGAATCACTGCAGAAGGCACATTCTCCCCTCTCTCTTCCTCCTCCACTTTGGTACTTTGCTACGAGTTTTTTCTTGAATTCTATTACGTTTCTTTCCTTCTTTACCACAGGGCTGGCATCAGAAGCTTTTTTTGGGCCCATGGTGGTTTATTTAGCAGCTACAAGCACTAAAAACAATGAAATAATACAAAATATATCGCATGTACGTGTGGAATCGTCCTCCCTGGCTTGTCAACAATGGTACACTGGCTGTACATAGGCTCAGGCCATGCGGACACGTTTGGTACGAATGCCCTTGACCGAGTTCTTGGGCATTAGCCGAGCCAATATTTTGATGCAAAAGTGTGCCGCTATCTGATTTTAGCATTAGCCGATGCTGCCGTTACCTGAGGGTCCACTGTGTATGTATTAGGATTACTAATTGTTCATGCCATTCTTTGACTACTGCCCACAGAATGGGTATGTGGATGCATAATGAAGATATTAAAATTAACTAACCTAATTGTAGCCAATTTAGCAAACTTCATGGCTCCTAAAGTAATACAATATTAAAAAAAAAAAATTAAAACAGTGTCCCATTTTCTGGGGGGGAAGACAACAGAAATCAAACAGTTCTTACTGAAGCAAAGGAACTCTTCCTCTGAACTGATACTATAAATAAGCTTAATTTCTATTACAGTGGAAGCGAATTTTCAGAATCTTGGGAAAGGTTATAAACAGTTCCCTTGGGCAGTAGAAAATATGTTCATTGGTAATAAATTTCAACTTTTTGGATAAGGAAAGACTGGAGACCTCAAAAGGAGGCATTGTATACAAAATACAGGACCACCATATAGAAGGAAAGGAACACACAAGACTTGATTATGATAATGTCAGCTGACCCATCATATAGAGACCGCAATAAGACTACTGCTATGAAAGCCAGAAAAATGACAGGGTAGACAATGAGAGTTTTCAAAACGGAAATAATGCCAGTGGTGACGCTATTCAAGTCACTTGCCCCCTTTCGCTTTAGAGTACTGTTTGATGTTGATGGCTCTGAGATAGAACATCTCTATGAGTTTATAGCAAAGCGGGTAGAGCGAAATAGGTGAGTGGTGTCCTGTTTGTCCCTGTGACTTATTGCTCTGACAATATAAACTGAAATTTAAAGTAAGATGAAAAGGAATGAATTCAGTGGACTTCAAGGAAGGAGACATCAAAGCTCAAAAAGATAATATGT